CACTTGTAAATAAACTGCACTTGGGTTCTCACTTCAACTCGCCTTCAGTGGACTAATTCGTTACAGACTACACGACCGCACAAAATTAACCCAGCAGATCGTCTCTTTCAACTTTGTCAAGGTAATAGCTCCATTGAGGATTATGTTCAGGACTTTTGTGGACTTTGTCACCAAGTGGATTTTAATGAAACATTCCTTAAGGACATTTTCCGCTATGGTTTGGACAAAAATGTATCAAGTTTAATGCCACGCAATACTCCTCACTGGACTCTTGAAAAATACATTGACTTTGCCTTGTTGCTGGCTGATTCACCATTCACTGTGGGTGTCATGGAGGAGGAACATGACACTTCCCAAAAGTCTGCTCACATCAAGCCTGTTCACGTCATGCCTGCTATGCAAGTCTGTTCATGTCAAGTCTGTTCATGTCAAGTCTCGGATTATCGTTTGGATCACTTGTAAATAAACTGCACTTGGGTTCTCACTTCAACTCGCCTTCAGTGGACTAATTCGTTACACACATCAATAAAACATTTCATCAAATTTATATTTGTAAGGATCAATATTTATGTTTCTGAAACCTAAAATAAACATTACTTGATTAAAAAACACTGAAAGCACAGAAGCAGATTTGACGCACTGAAAGCAAATATTTTGAATGCAAATATTTTGTGAAAGAACGCAACGTTACTGAATACACAAGAACACAAATGTTTGCGAAAGGATGCGTTACTTGGGGAACACAATACTTTTGTGAGTGAATGCTAATGTTTTGAGAAAAAACACAAAGTTACCAGGAGATCGCAATACTTTTGAGAGTAAACGCAAATGAAAGAATGAAAAGTTTTTCGGGGAAACACAATACTTTTACGAGTTTACGCAAATGTTTTGTGAAAGAACAAAAAGTTACTCGGGGATATGCAATTATTTTGCAAACAAACACAATTTTGTTTTTGTTTTTTACGAAAGACTGCAAAGTTGCTCAGGGAAACACAGATGTTTTTCAAAAGAACAAAGTTATTTGAGGGATTACAGTTAATTTCAACATTTACGCATTATTAAAATCAAAAGCTGTGCTTGGTAACATTAGTTAATGCACTGTGAATTGACATGAAATAACAATGAGCGACTGTATTTTCATTAACTAACATTAACAAAGATTAATAAATACTGTAACAAATGTATTGTTCATTGTTTGTTCATGTTAGTTAATACATTAACTAACAATAATTAATGGAACCTTATTGTAAAGTGTTACCAAAATATTTATAAATGATATTCTCTCTTTTTTCTCTCTCATTGAGCTTGTTGCGATGCATTCTGGTATTGCTTTATCCCTTAAGGACACATACATTGCTTTCTTAGGTTTTACAGATACGGATAAACATGGGAAACATTCATTATTACAATCAAGCGTTTATTACAGCACAGTACATCAAAACTCACCTCGTATAAGGTCAGAGGTCATGTGCGGCCAGCTGTAGGTCCGTACAAGCTGCCAATCAAAATCATCTTCCTGTGCCTGTCTGTATTCACATAGGCTGGGGTCGGAGTATTCCTCAAACGTGCAGCCAGCTGGAGAGAGATAACACACTGTTAGAACCAAACTCTATTTAGATGGCCAATTTACATTGTGTTTTGCTTATGTAGGTCAGTACAAGTGATGTTTTGAAATATTTTGAACTTGGGCAACTTGGGAAAGTGCAACATAAGTCTTGAATTGAAGTCGAACTCGACACTTGTAAACGTGCAGAAATTTACAATGATTTCACACGTACATGGCGGCACCCAGAGTAACACATTTAATGATTTCCCATGCAAAAACGTCAGCCGATCATAATGGAGGTACTTGAATAAAGACCTCTTAAAGGTACAGTAGCAAAAACAGCCTGCTTAATTGCAAGGGTCAAGGATAGGATGAAAAATTATCATGTGAAACTAAACTGCGTCTGTTTTTGGTGCATTAAGACTTGACCAACATCATAAAGGATTTCAGGAAATAAAATAAAATGAGTTGATTATGACAAACAACTAAAAGCTCCACATCCACATCTTAAAACTTTTATGAGAACAGTAGGATGATTGCTGCTTTAGGCAGATGATGCATTTCTGTAAATAACTCTATGTGAGTTTGCTAGCTTTGTAGTGGAAAAGGAACCTCAGGGCTGTTGTGTTCGGGTAATTAAATATTCTGCACAAAACTATGACTTTGTAGCTGTAATCTTTCAGGAGTGATATGGGACTCTGCATCTTTCACTAAGAAAGACTTTGTTCAGACAGGCAGCAAAAATCTATGCTGGATTTTTTAACCTTTAGGCTGATTGGAAAAATGTGCCTCCACTTTCATTTTTGCAAAACTATACCTATATTTACAATTCCCTGCAGGTTGCAGTTGAGATAAACACTAATGGCAGTAAAACACCAACAAGTTGTATTCCTTTTCACACAAATTATGATGCAACTGATTATGGATTAATAAAGACTTATTTTCAAAAACGTCTTTACTACAGAACTACATTATGACCTCAAAACACTTGATTTGTAAACTAATACATTTTGAAGTTTGCCTCACATATTCAGCTCAATAAATATGGCTTTTCTGACATAGTAAACTTGCTCGGTGACTCATCCGGTACAGCATTGCGCTTGCAATTGGCTAAAATGTCATGGCTGCTTCAGTTTTGAGTTTTTATCTCACGTTTGTTTTTGTTAACACTATCGGTTAGCTTTAGTGTACGTGTTACGTTATTTTCAAAACCTACACTGTAAAAAATGATTGTGATTTTAACAGTAATTAAATTTGCTACCATATTTTTTTACGGTGAAGTTCTGGCAACCACAGCTGCCGGTATTTTACCGTAAATGTCACATATTTTTTTTTACAGTGATATAGCATTAACCTAATTTAATTTTAACCTAGCCATCTCATTTCTGAACTGCAGCAATTGCACAAGAACCAAATCTGAACACGCTTTTAGCACCATTCACTGGACATTTCATTTTGAAAGTCTCGGGAAACATGCAAGAAGCAGCGTAATATTATTTTGCAGAAAATGAGACTGGCTTGAGATTTTTGATTACAACTGTCGGATTGGATTTTAATCCTGTTTTCTTTGTCATTCAAGGTTCAAACGTACTGCAATATTTCAATGTTACTCATTAAAGCTCTAATGTGGCATTCAATCTATTCAAAAGTGAATTAGATAGCAATTTTGGCCACTATATATGCAATACAGTCATTTTTGTATATTACTGAACATTGGCAACACTGTCTAAACAGACAGATCTGTTTGGGGTTCATTTGTTGTAAAATAAAAGTGCGGACAGTGAGTTCTGAAAATTGCATTTGGAACACCAATTTGAATTGTGTGTAGTGTGAAGAAAGGCTAATCACCCGCACTAAAACTAATGAGGCAAGCGAAAAGACTGTCAACGGCGCATGTACTGATGTGGCATCATCTCAGGCAAAAATGATTGAGTACCACATCTGAACTCAGACTCCAGCTAAAAGCTTTTCAGTGCCTTTTGTTTTCCTTAATTGCATCTAATAATTCTGCTTTCCTCGGCTCTGTGTGTAAGTCGAGGTGTGTGTTTCGGCTCAGTTAGCTCCAGGCTTGGAGGATGGGGAGGTCAGGCACGAAACACACGTAATAGACTCATCGCTGGTGTGAGGTGACCCACTCCTGTGCCTGTGTGTGTGTGTGTGTGTGTGTGTGTGTGTGTTTGGGAAACATGCTATCAGCAGGATCTCAACAGAAGCTAATAATACTCCATCTAGAATAGCATCTAAAAACAGAAGCACTTTCACAACCACATGCTCTCACGCTACATTACAGGTGGCGAAATTACAGCCAGACCCAGGAAAGTGGACCAAACTACTCACACAAACAGCAGAACATCTGAGTAGAGACATGCACGCTCAGCACTCAGATTCTGATTGGTCAATGGCGGAATTTAGTACAATTATATAAAAAAAAATTACACTCTAACACTTTTTTTTTTCTTCTTTTTTGAAAGAAATTACTACTTTTGCGTGGATAGATTAAATGATTAAAAGTGTCAGTTTTTTATTTATTATAAAAAAATATATTTGTTCAAAATAAATCCTTCATTTGACATTTCTATCCGTTTTCAGCATTGACGATAATAATAAGAAATGTTTTTCTGAGCAGCTAATCATCATATTATAATGATTTCTGAAGCATCATGTGACACTGAAGACTGGAGTAATGATGCTGAAAATTCAGCTTTGATCACAGCAATAAATTGTATTTTAAAATATATTAAAATAGAAAACAGTTACTTTAAACTGTAATAATACTATTACACTATTACCGTTTTTACAGCATTTTTGTCAAATAAATGCAGCCTTTTTGTGAGCATAAGAGACTTCTTTCAAAAACCTTTGAAGGAGGAAAAAAAAAATTGAATGGTAGTGTATTATTGTATAATTCCCATAAACTGACCGGTAATAATTGATCATTGTCCCAGGCAAGCACTTTCCTAATTAGCTGTGCTAGTCTATCATATTTTGCAGTGCTTTGTAATAAATAAATAAATTGATATTTAATGTCATTTTATTTTGGCAAGTAGTCATTTATTTTGTGATAATAACTAGCTCACTGTACATTACCCTGCTAATTACAAGCCGTTCATTATCGCAAAATAAACCCTTCAGGATCATATCAGAGCTGTCTGTGACATATATGCATATATAGGAACCGGAAATATGCATTTTGTATACGAGTTTCTCTGTCACATGTAGCAAAGAGCAAATCAGTGTGTTTCTATCATGGCATGAGAACCTGTCTGCATCAGATGCGAGCGGCATATCACAACACGTCCAAATGAAATCACTCCCATTATAATCAAAGAAGCTGTCTACACTGAAAGAGCTTGAGTTCAGCTGTTGCTGAAGTGCTGACTGGTGAATGTCATGCCGTGAATGATCTGAGATGACACTTCCACTGTAGACATGATGTAAGTGCGGAATTCAGATTGAAATGCTACTCAGTCTGAGATTTATTTAATTTTTATGTTCCTCTTGTTAGGCTATACTTGGCAGATTGTCCAAAAACATACAGGTGCTGGCTAATAATAAATTTTCTGGATACAGGTTTACTTCTGAATCATTCAAAATACACAGCAAAACAATCATCATGCATTACCAGTACAGTCTGTGGTCACACTTTACTTTAAGGTCCAATTCTATTAACTATTATCTACGACTTTTCCCTCAATAAACTCCCAATTTGCTGCTTCTTAATAGTAGGTAGTAGTCAAGTTTAGGTATGGAGTGGATTAACGGATCTAGAATGTGATCATACAGAATAAGACATTAACGTACTTTATAAGTACTAATAAACAGCCATTATGCTAGTAATCCATTCTAATAAGCAACTAGTTAATAGTGAGAACTGGTCCCTAAACTAAAGTGTTAACCAGTCTGTAAATGCACATGTGATGCATTTGCACTAAAAAGCATGGTATTTTTGATGGCAAGTGAAAATGATGAAATTACCCACAGTATCTATCAGGGGCAGTTTCTTCATTAGGGCGATGCTCCACCAAAGTGTGAAAGGGAGGGATTTTTTTTTCTATCACATTCAACCACAGTGTTAGGCTAGCTGTCACGGTTCTAGACTGTTTGTTCTGCCTCTGGAAATATAGTCCAATCAGCGTTGTCACATTATGTGGAGTACCGCCCCTTTTTGGTCGATTTATCTCTGGTCAAGAATCGCCCAGACTGTTCTTATAGACTTCCATACAAAGATTTTTATTTATTTTTTTCAATCTCTATGAGTTCTGGGAGGGCCAGCGCTAACGTGCTTCCGTCATCATACGTAACATTAACTGTGCAACGTGTATGGGCTGAATAAAGCAAACCAGTATCTCACCAGTAACGTTTTGATTTCGATTGTAGTGGAGGTAAAAACGATTACAGTGACATGCAGGAGTCGCACATTATTAGACATGTTCGAGTCCGTTATTCTTAGTCTGCAAATAAACAGACCGTGTCTAGCTTTTTGCACGAGCACATTTCATTATGATCGCATGTCTGGCAGGTGTTTTATAATGGATACTCGCTGAAGAAGCGTGTTTTTAGAGGAGTTTGCGATGGTCAGTGGTGTTTATATACATATGAGCATCAACACTCACCCTGACAGAGAAACTGTTCACTGAGCTGCCTTCAGATCGCCACGTTCTACAAATTCAGAATGTTTTTATTTACTTTTTTAACTTGTGTTTTGCTCTGTTTAATAATTCTGAATGGATCGGTATATATTTATATGCAGTCAGGTTATGGCGAATGGGATAGTGGTCTGTTAGGATTACGTGTGGTATTGCAGCTTGACTTGTAGTTATAGAAAATGCTCTAAACATATGTGACATTTTTTATGATGTTTCAAGTCTTAATATTTTTCCTTTTGTTATACTGAGATAAATCATACTGGGATGTGTGCTAAAATCGTTGGATGTGGCACCCTACCTAGAAAATTGTCCACCAACCACCGCTGGTATCTATTGTTTTCAGACCACAAGACTAACAGAACCCCTTCACAGTTTGTGTTTTA